GTCAAAAAAGGTCAACTGTGACAGTTCCAAGTTTGTATTTTGCCGGGGTGAAGCGAGCTCGATTGATTGATGTGTAAGAAGATTAACCTGCTCCATGTTATTAGTGAACTCATTAAAAGATGTCATCGAGGGGAGCTTCGAACTTGTCCTTGGAAAGAAAGATATCACCATCCACTTGCAGAGATGATGAACTAAACAACGAAAACCATCTTTTCATGAGCTTTACAGACGTTGATACAAGAATCACCTCATTTCTTGATATCTAAAACTTATATCCTGATCAAAGCAATGGAATCAGTGCACAGATTCTTGAGGTCAAATCAAATATCTGATCCCATCAGTCAAATATTACCTTCTAAATCAAAAGCTTTCTACCAAACAATACCAGATTCAAGGCAAGTCCCTTTTCGTGTTGCCCAGTCATCATCCCTTCTTAACATCAACTTTTCGTTAGCCCTCGCCATTAAATCGCTCGTTCGCAGACAAACTACTTGACATGGTTTCCACCTTCTCTTGAACATGGTTGATTGATTTCTTAGGTCATTAATGTTGACCTATGTAGAAAGTTTGTTTGTCATCACAATGGACAACGCAAAGAAGATGAAGACAACCAGATTTCCATTCACCATGAAGCCCCTCTCATCCGCTTATGTATATACATGCATACTCGATGGCCCTCACCACTTTCATCATGGCTTCCGACGCCATTGCTTTCTTCCTCCTGAGTTCCTTCTTCCGCCTCAGTCCCGTTGTCTCCGTAGTTCCTCTGTTGGCCCCTGTCGACCCTTCCACCGCATGCAACTCGACGCTCGACCCCAAGTTCTGCAAGACGGTCCTTCCCCCACGAGGATCCAACAACCTGTACGAGTATGGCCGCTTCTCCGTCGCCAAGTCCCTCTCCAATGCCAGGAAGTTCCTCCATCTGATCAACCGATACCTCGCTCACAAGTCGAACCTGTCGCCGACTGCCTCGTTGGCCCTCCTCGACTGCCAGCTCCTGTCGGAGCTCAACATCGACATCCTCACCGCGGCTGAAACCACACTGAATGACACCGACAAGCTCCTCGACCACCAAGCCGACAAGGTGCACACCCTGCTGTCAGCTCTGGTCACCAACCAGCACACCTGCTCCGACGGCCTGCATGCGACGGAGTCGGCGTGGTCCATCAAGAACGGCCTCTCCGTCCCTATGCACAATAGCACTAAGCTCTACGGCGTCTCCCTTGCACTCTTCAAGCGGGCCTGGGAGCCTCACAGGAAGAACAGGAACGTCAGCCACTCCAGAGTCCCACGTAGGAAGACACTGTTATTCCACGAAGTCGCCGTCGGCCGCGACGGCGAGCTACCGCTGAGGATGCCGGCCCAGAAAAGAGAGCTGTTCGAGAGGTGGAGCGGGCGGGGGCTCCTTCAGGCGACCGACGCCGTCCTGGTAAACGACGTCGTGCGGGTGAGCCAAGACGGCAGTGGGAACTTCGTGACGATCACAGACGCGGTCAAGTCGGCCCCCGTTGACCACGACGAAAACACCGGCTACCACTTGATATACGTCGCCGCCGGGGTTTACGAAGAGTACGTCGTCATCCCCAAGCATAAGAAACACTTGATGATGATCGGCGATGGGATCAACCAGACGGTGATCACCGGCAACCATAGCGTCGGTGATGGCTGGACTACCTTCACCTCCTCGACCTTTGGTACGTGACCGCTTGGTTACCATTCCCAAGATATGCTTTACCTGACACAAGTCTTTCACCTGTAGTCGCCCTCGGACATGGATTCGTGGCGATCAACATAACCTTCCGAAACGCGGCCGGGCCGGCCAAGTACCAAGCGGTCGCGGTCCTGAACAACGCAGATATGTCCACCTTCTACAGATGCAGCTTCGAGGGCTACCAAGACACGCTCTACACCCACTCCATGAGGCAGTTCTACAGGGAGTGCGACATCTACGGCACAGTGGACTACATATTCGGCAACGCAGCGGTGGTGTTCCAGAACTGCAACGTCTACTCCCGGTTGCCCCTCCCTGGCCAGATCAACACCATCACCGCGCAAGGCCGGACCGACCCGAACCAGAACACCGGCACGTCGATGCAGTCCTGCAACTTCCTCGACGCAGCTGATCTGGCCGCCACGGCCCTCTGCCTGGAATCACAGGAGTCGCCGATGACGTACCTCGGCCGACCGTGGAAGCCTTACTCGAGGACCGTGGTCATGCAATCTTACATGGATTCGCTGATCGAGCCAGCAGGTTGGGTGCAATGGAACAGCGATGACCTCGCACTGAACACGTTGTACTACGCAGAGTACAACAACAGCGGTCCCGGTTCCGGCACGGCCGGCCGCGTCGACTGGCCAGGATACCTTGTGATCAGCGCCAACGACGCCATCAATTTTACTGTCAGCAACTTCATTTCGGGTGATCAATGGTTGCCGATGGCTGGAGTGCCTCATGACAGTGGATTGGTCTGATCGACCAATGTCAACAATCGTCTTCTACGTGGATACATGTCATAGTCTTGCAGTATTGTCTGCTTGTTGAATTTGTGTCTCAAGTAAAATTATTATTGGGCGATTTACCATAAATAAATATCATTTTTACTTACGGAGCGCCCCCTTTATTATTATTATTATTATTATTATTATTATTATTATTATTATTATTATTATTATTATTATTATTATTATTATTATTATTATTATTATTATCGTAAATTTTATATTTTTCATCATTTTATGGTCCTTATCAAGAAGAGAAGTCAAACCGAATCCAAAATAAAAAAAAACAGAGAGTAGGATAACACAGAAGAAAAAGAGTAAAGGTAAACAAAAATATATCTAAATTTTGATTATAAAAAAGGATTTATAGTCATGGAAATATCAAATCTGGGTCACTATGGCTCTAGAACAATATTTCATTTCATAGAGTTCAATTATTTCGATTTCCAAAAACAACCTCGATCGATTATCAATTTATTTATCAAAATATCCATAAATGAGTTATCTATTTATATTGTGAATTTAAACCATGTTTTAATTGGATTTTTCTTTTTTTTTTTATTTTTTTTGTTATTATTATCTAGAATAGTAACAAAATTTAGAAAAATAACTTATAACCCATCTAAAATATCTTTTTATTTTATTCACATAATATCCTTTATTTTTTAAAAGATGAGATTATCTTTGATATTCAACTATGTTCACCCTTCACCCCTCATTCGTCGTTGCCACAACACCCTTATCTGTTGCCTTTGTCCTTTCTGCCTATAGCCTCTAAGAATTCATTTATGGTTATGTCCTCTACTAGTTTCTTGTCTACTCCCTTTGCCTTCATGTCTTTCGCCCAAACTTAGGTTGCCTCATCTTCTCTCCCATCTTTCCCTACAATTAATCTCATACCCATCATTCTATTTTTGGCATTTTCTTTCATCCCTCCCACTTTAGTGATGGATTGACTATCTTGGACATTTCCCCATTATCATTCATTAGTTTCTTCACTCAGCTCTTTCCCATCATCATTCGATCCTTGGCCAATGATTATATTTTTTTCCTCCACCAAGAACCACAATCATAATGTGTGGGGTGAGCTCGATCACCTCCTTGCCCTCAATCTTATCCTCTATCTCAACATCATTGATGGGAGGCGATGAAACCTCGCGAGATAAAGGCCGTCATTTAAAGGTAATGAGACCTCACGATAAGGTGAAGATCGTGATAAGAGTCAAATGCGAGCACAATGGGGCAACCGGTGCTCCTCAACATTTATGCTTTGTGCATTATGATTGTATTACAAACTTCTGACGATTCCTCTTAGATATTTTAAGGAATTATACAGTAAAATAAAAGTGACTTAAAATGAGCATTAATCATCATATCTTAAATTCTCATATTAAAATATATTTATAAAATAAGTTTAGATATCAAGATTTTTCTGACATGAGGCAAACACATGTGTATTTTAATTTCATCTAAAAATAAAGTAAGAACTTAAGCACATCGATAACAAATAAAAATGAAAATCGTAAAAAGTTTAGTAAGCTAGTTGTATCAATCATCTCCAATGAAATGTTTGAATCCTTCGCTAGTGCAATATTCTTAGTCATATAAAAATTATATATATAGTTCATGTAGATGCTTACTTTACGGGGCTTCTCACATTTTAATTCGTATCACATAAAATCTATTTATACATAGTGAAAGAGAGAATTTCTTCAATTGAGCAGAAAGATTTTCTCGTGTAGTTGAGAAAATCTTTTGTTATTAGAGAAAATCTCTCTGTTATCAGTATATATTTTTTCATTTTCTCGTGGATTCACGGGCTAATAAAATTATACTTAAAGTTATTGACAAATTTATGAGATCTATTGATAGCTCTTTTCTATATATGTATCTATTTATCAGAGTTAGAAAACATGACAAGTTTTGAAGATTCAGGATCAATAGAAGCATGTCAAAATAAGAAGTGTCACATCTCGAACTGATCTAACTCTATTATTAGAAGATCGGTTTATGCATGAACAAAATATCTTTTGTGGAACAATAAAATATTTTTCTTAAAATTTATATATTTCTAATATATATATATATATATATATATATAATAAAAGATAAAGAAGACAAAAGAAATTTGATCCCTCTTTTAATCTTTATTAATAATTACTCTAAAGACTCCTCTATTTCTTTCTTGATGATATCGCTATCTCTCATGAAATGGGGTCAATGAAGACTATAAATAAAGAGAGAGAAAGGAAAGTTAACCCTAATAATCTATTTGTTAATAGAATAAAATTATTAATTTATTATTAATTAAAATTAAGGTATTACAATTCCTTTGGTTCAGCCAAATTTCATCGTATGGTTAGACTCTAACCTCAGGACTTTTTTTATTTTGAGAAGACAAACCTCGAATTTAACAGAGGTGATGGATCCCATCATCACCGATCACAGTGATCGGCGGATGTCTATTTACAGCTGTATACAAGCGAGCAGAGTAGGAAAGATCAGACGGCAAGCTCTGGAGCTTCGGGGTCGACGGAGGCGCGGCAGACGGGGCAGTCGGAATGAGAAGTCAGCCACATGTCTATGCAATCCACATGGAAGCAGTGGAAGCACCTGGGGAGAAACCGCCCCTTCTCCCCCTCCTTGAAGTCCATCAGGCACACAGAGCAGCTCAGCTTCTTCTTCTGAGCCGTGGAGTAGACGAAGACCGGCAGCACCGAGAGGACATCTTGGGAGGCGGCGGCGGCGCCCGCTGTCATGATCCCGCTGGCGTTAGGGGCCGCGGCTGCGATTGAGGCGACGGCTGCCGTGGTGGTGGTGGTGGTGGAGGTTGAAGTCCGGTTGTCGGGCGAACCATCGCATACGGCTTTGAGGACGGACCAGGAGATGGCGAGAACTACGACCGTGCAGAAGATCCACAGGATGACGATGAGAAGACCAGGCATTAATCCTGGAGCAATACCATGCCCCTGTCGTCGTCTCCTTGTGAGTGAAGGGCTGGGAAGAGTAGGGGAGGTTTATATGTCAGTGCAGGGAGAAGACGAGGCGTTGTTGGGGCTCTACATCGTGAATTTGCTACGAAGGTGCGTTGTGGTCAAGCAAAAGGGGGGCGCAAAGTCAACGTGGACTTATTCTTCGTTAGAGAACGATGACGGACGGCATCGTTTCCTTCGATCATCAGCACCTGCGTCAGCTGCAAATCGAAATTTCTACGTGCCTTGTGGCAGAGTTTTGAGCCGACGACAAACTAAGTTTTGTCCGCCAACTGGTGCTGCCCTCGCTCCTTTCTCGGTAAGTTAAACGCAGGGTTTCACCTTCTTCTTCTTCCTCCTCGTTGACCCCAAACTACCGGCCTCTATTGGTCGTCATTTATTGATTCCTCTCCGTAAATGCTCTCTCGCCAGGACCGCGTCAGATGCCAACGCGTTGTACTCGTGTCGTACGCCCATTGAGAAATGATGCTGGGGACCCCACGGATGGGGTCATGAGTTCCCGGCCTTATTGGTGGTTCGCTAACATGCCATGCCGACCATCGGACCGTTAGCACGTCAGATGAATGCGGTGGGCCGACGGGCACATCAACTCCATCAAGAGGTTGGTGAAGAGAAATGAATCCGACTGTAAGTGGTGCTCCCATCACGACCAAAGTTGGTGCAAAGATTTTGACGACCGAGAACATTTTTCTTTCTTGTTTAGAGTGATTGTTTTTGATGATACATGTCATCGGCAGTGTTGTTCTGACTGTCATATCTCTCTACCTTCTACGGGATGTCTCCTGTGATCTGGAGAAGAATATGGGGCTCAACGAATCTCAGTTCTTATACCATCCAAATATAATTTACAGACCGATATGGACACGTTGTGCACGTCGAGAACGATGAGAATCGGAAACGGTGCCAGCAAATCTCATTGAGTAAATGGTCAAAATAAAGAAGTCAACATATATTGGATTTGCATGCTTTCCCAATCTAATGTAGGACTTGTCTGCATATTGCCTTGAACGTGGATCAGACGTGATTCCTTCGATCATTCGCCATTCCTCTGCACCCACCATTCTTTTGCCAAGAATCGCACTCGATGCCGGACATTCCGGTCAAATGCTGGGTATCGTCGCCGCGTTAGAAACCATTCGATATCCAAAGCGGAGAGGACGTCCCGTCGACCATAATAGATACGTTTACAACTAAGTCGGTTGTCATGGTGGGACCTACACGTGTGTAGACCCCACACAAGAATGCATGGGGAACAGCACCACCCTCGATGGTTTGCACGGGTGTCCTGGGTGTGAATGAAGCTTGATGTTACGTCCTCAACTACCAGCCTGTTGATTGGGTCAAATTGTGTAGGGACCACATGTATGGTGCAATTGCCTCCATTCACTAACAGGTAAGCTAGCCGGGTAAGCAAACGAGGATCGGAAAATTGGCTTCATGTTGTTTCACACTCTTTTTGCCCTTTTCGCAATATTGCAATAGTTGTCTATGATTTCATTTTCTATCCGCCAAACATTTTTGTTGGATCAAACGTATGACGAAGGTGGCGTGTTGGATATTTCCATCAATTGATCATGTGATATAGTTCCAAACAACTATCAAATTCTTTCGATTTGAATCGTTCAAAGATCTATCCATGGGTGTGGCTATTGATTGAGACCTCAGGAAGCCATGGCTCTTATAGTAGATGAGATTTCTCTAACTGTTTGAGAAAATCTCTCTACTCGGAGGGAAATCCTCTAACCTGTTGAGGAAAATTCTCCCACATAACCTGTATAAAAGGAAGGGGGATATGTTAATAACAATCAACTTCTTCTACAACTTGTTTATTTATTTATTTTCTAACATTGTATCAGAGCAATTCCTCCTTAGCGACAGCAGTATCGTCGTGTGTTAGCCAAGCGGCCACAGTAACAAGCTGCCTCAAGCGGAGTCATTGAAGAAGCACCAAGACACGGATTCAGAGCCAGTGCTAACGAGCACCGTCTTGGCTCTGCTCATCCACTCCTTCTCTTCCTTCATCGCCGGTCTTGCTTTTCTTCGCTGGCCTTGCTCCCTCTCCTATTTGCAGACACTCTCCGTCGTCAGCCTACAGCAGACACTCTCTGTCGCCGCCACGCAAGGAGGAAAACATTCTCTCACTGCCTCCTCAATAGCGACGAACGGCGAACAGCAGTGTCTTCCTCGTTTCCCGGCCAGCAGCAGTCACAACTGCTGCATCTTCCTTCCTCTACCGCAGTAGCTTTCACTGTCGCTTCCCTCTACACAACGGCGCCTCCTCAACGGCGGTGTCTTCCTCCTCAATAACGGCGAACGGCGGTGTCTTCCTCGCTCAGTCTTCCTTGCTTAATGACGAATGCCACATCTTCCTCCTTCGCTGTCGTAGTCGCTTCCCGGCCAGCAGCAACCGCAACCGCTGCATCTTCCTTCCTCTACCGCAGTAGCTTTCGCTGCCGCTTTCCTCTATACACCTAATTGCTGCAGATTTCTCTCACTATAGTTTCCTTGAGTACCGCTGCAGATTTTCGCGGCCATTTCCCGGCAAACCGCAGTTTTGAGTATCGTTGCAGTTTTCGCGGCCATCTTCCGGCAAACTGCAGCCTCTACAATCTGCTGCAGCAAGCCGCAATCCACAGCAGTTGCCGGCAGCTTTGGGCACTATTGTAGACCTCAGCAAGCAGCAAGCAGCAATCTATAGCAGCGGCCCCTCCCTCCCTCATTCTCCACCTTGTGCGACCTGAGTATCACACAAGGTTCGCTGCATTACTTCTTCTAAAAAAAAAAAAACACGTCTTCGTTCACTTCTTCTGATGTTTCAGTTCCTATAGGGACTCCCACTTCTTATTCTTCTATAGGGCTTATCTCCATCAATGTTGCCACGCTGATCCCCTTTTAAGTTATCAAAGGGTGGCAACTATGCATCTTGGCGAGCTCAATTTTCTAATCTTTTATTTGGATATGACTTGTTAGGTTACATTGATGGCTCCTTCAGTTGTCCTTCGGCCATGCTCAACATCCCCGGAGATCCCAGTCCAGTACCCAATCCAGCTCACAAATTGTGGCTACGTCAAGATCGTCTCATTCTCCAAGCTATTCAAGCGTCAGTTGCTGGATCCGTTGCTCCCTTGATATCTTCATATATGACAACTGCCGATGCATGGTCTAAACTGCAAACCACCTTGGCAAATCATTCGCGTACTCGCAAGCTCAGCATTCTATCCAAGCTTATGGTGACAAAACAAGAGGGAAATACTATCTCTGATTATCTACAACATATCAAGGTTATCATCGATGACTTAGCTTTGATAGGTCATTCCCTATGTGACGAAGAGGTTGTCATTCATACCCTCAATGGTCTCGACACCGACTACAAGGAATTGGCTGCTGCAATTCGGGCACGTGACTCGCCAGTCTCTTTTGAAGATCTCTATGATAAGCTGACTGACTATGATATGTACTTGAAGCGTGCGGACAAACTGCCTGGATCGACTGTCACAACTCAAGTCAGTCACAAGTCTAAACGGAAGAGCACTCGGTACTCGCCGAACATCACCCAAGGTTTGGCTAATGAGCCTCTTGATTCTGTGAGTTCCATGCAACACCCCTCCTATCCTCCTAGTCATCACTTCTCGCAAAGTGGCAACTCCAGCCATCATCCATCTTGGCATCCTGCCCTACCGAGCCATCAAAGACGGGTCGTTTGCCAATTATGTGACAAAGTCAGTCACTCTGCTAAAGTTTACCGGTCTCGTCCCCGCCTCCCTGCTCCGTCACACTGGCCTCAGGTAAATCTCCTGACTACTCCGACACCTAGCCAGTCCAATTGGATTGTCGACTCTGGTGCCTCTCATCACATCACCGCTGATCTTCAGAATTTGTCTCTTCACAATCCCTATGGCGGCGATGAAGATATCATCATCGGTGATAGTAAAGGACTTCTTATAACTCATACTGGTTCCACAACGCTTAATTCTGACTCTACTACATTTACCCTCGATGATGTTTTATGCGCTCCTCATATTAAACGCAACCTCATTTCTGTTTCTAAATTTTGCAAACATAACAATACTTCCATTGAATTCTTTCCTGATTCATTTCTTGTTAAGGACTTGAGCACGGGAGCATCATTGGTCCAAGGCCCGAATAAAGACAACATCTACGAATGGCCGTCAGCCTCTCGAATAACCCAGCCCACTGTTCATTCTTCTGTTGTGGCTCCAGTTGATGTGTGGCATCATTGGCTTGGTCATCCCTCGTCCTTTATTCAGCATAAATTATTTTCTCGTCACTCTCTTCCTCTTTTTAAGTCCACTAATTCTATGATGCATTGTGATGCATGTCTTAGTAATAAGAGTCATCGGCAACTTTTTGGCTCATCTTTCATTTCCTCCTCTAAACCTTTTAAAATTATATATACTGATGTTTGGGGTCCTGCTCCAATCTTATCTTTTGATAAGTTTCGATTTTGTTACTTTTGTAGATCACTTTTCTAAGTACACATGGATATATCATCTTTCCCATAAATCTGACATTTCTCGCATTTCTTCCACTTTCCAGAAGTTTGTCGAAAACTATTTTTAGTCTACCATTAAAATGGTCTACTCTGATGGTGGCGGTGAATATCAAGCCCTGGCATCCCATCTCTCAGCATGTGGCATTCAACACCTCAAGTCTCCCCCACATACTCCTCAATTAGTTGGTTCTGCTGAACGCAAACATCGGCATATAGTAGAAACTGGACTCACACTTCTACATCAGGCTTCCATGCCTTCAACTTTTTGGACAGCAGCCTTTCAAACTACTGTCTACCTTATTAATCGAATGCCTACACCAGTCCTACAATACCAGTCCCCCTTTGACACACTATTTCACAAACCCCCTAACCTTCGTAAACTCCGAGTGTTCGGTTGTTTATGTTATCCTTGGTTACGTCCCTATGCCTCTCATAAGTTAACATCCCGATCTACTCCTTGCGTCTTTATTGGTTACTCACTTGAACATAATGTTTTCCACTGCTATAATCTCCACACTACAAAATATTCAAATCACGTCACGTTGTCTTTGTTGAGTCTAACTTTCCTTTCCAAACCCTTCCATATCCTGCCATACGGACCACTTCACTATCTCACTGGAGTATACCTTCGAACCAATCAGACGAGCCTCCCATGCCTTTGTCTACTTCCTCCCCTCCTGATCCGCACTATATCACTCCAGTTCAACACTTGCCCGTTTCCTCTGTTCCTACTCCACTCCACTCTTCCCCAATTGATGGGGCAATATGTTCCGAAACACAACCATCCTCTTTACCTCCTTCTCGCCCAAGTGCCCCTGACATGTCTCCACTTGACCCGGCTTGTGCCACAGATCCTCACCCAACATCACCTCCCAATCCTGTAGTCTCCAATCATCCTATGACCACTCGTTCTAAGAATGGTATTTTTAAACCTCGTCAGGTACTTAACCTACAAACTATCATGAATTCCTCATCCCCCAACGTTGAACCCACCACCTTCACTCAAGCCCAAAAATCTCCACATTGGCATACTGTCATGAGTGAGGAACATAATTCCCTCCTCCATAATTCAACGTGGGATCTTATTCCTTTCCATCCTTCACAAAATATCATCGGGTGTAAGTTGGTCTTTAGAATTAAGCGGAACCCAGATGGCTCTGTTGCCCGATATAAGGCACGCTTGGTCGCCAAAGGGTTTCATCAACGACCTGGAGTTGATTTCATTGAGACGATTAGTCCTGTTGTTAAACCCACTATAATCCGGCTTATCTTGAGTCTGGCTACCACTAAAGGCTGGCAATTACGACAATTGGATGTTAATAATGTATTTCTACAGAGATCTCTAACCGAAGTTGTTTTTATGCAACAACCTCCCGGTTTTACTCATCCTCAGTATCCACAGCATGTTTGCAAACTTCGGAAAGCCATTTATGGACTTCGTTAGGCTCCAAGAGCTTGGTACACTGAACTTAGCTCATTTTTTACTTCTGTCGGCTTTCTTAACTTCAAATTTGACACTTCGTTGTTTCTGCGACATCATCATGGAAACACAATGTATATTCTGGTATATGTGGATGATATTATTGTCACAGGCAACAATCCCATCAGAATCCAAGCGTTCATCAAACAGCTGGCAGCTCGATTCTCGCTTAAGGATCTCGGACCCTTGAGCTACTTTCTGGGTGTCAAAGCTACCTTCACATCTTCCGGTCTCCTTTTATCACAACGCAAGTACATTCAAGATTTGTTATTAAAGACAAACATGCAGGATGCAAATGCAGTTACAACCCCCATCTCTACTAGTGGTTCTCTCAAATTATCGGATGGAAGTCTTGCTACAGAACCCACTCAATACCGCCAAGCTGTTGGCTCCTTACAATACTTAGCTCTCACGCGTCCAGACATCTCATTTGCTGTCAACAAATTATCACAGTTTATGCAGCAACCATCTACTCTACACTGGTCTGCGGTCAAGAGACTTCTGCGATATCTTAAAGTGACCCTAAATCATGGACTCTTTTTTCGTAAACACTCTCCACTTCATCTTCATGCCTTTACCGATGCTGATTAGGCAGGTAACCTTGATGATAGAATATCCACATCGGGGTATATTATCTTCCTTGGTGCTCATCCAATCAGTTGGAGTTCTAAGAAGCAAAAGACAGTCGCCCGATCTACAACTGAAGCTGAATACCGTGCCATTGCCGCTACCACTGCAGAACTCAATTGGATCACGAATCTACTCCAGGAACTCAACATCGATTCCACCCCTACAATATATTATGATAATATTGGAGCTACCTATCTGTGCACTAATCCGGTATTTCACTCCCGCATGAAACATATTGCTATCGACTTCCACTTTGTACGCGATCAAGTTGTCCGTCGTCAACTTCATGTTTCTCATGTTCATACGGCTGATCAATTGGCCGACTCATTCACAAATCCTCTAGCTCGTAAACTTTTTACATTACATCAGTCCAAAATTGGCCTCCTTGATAGGAACACCATCTTGCGGGGGCATGATAGTAGATGTGATTTCCCTAACTGTTTGAGGAAATCTCTTACTCTATTGAGGGAAATTCTCTAACCTGTTGAGGAAAATTCTTCCTTCTAACCTGTATAAAAAGAAGGAGGATATGTTAATAACAATCAACTTCTTCTACAACTTGTTTATCTATTTATTTTCTAACAGGCTCGGCAGACGGGACAGCTCACGTGAGAGCTCAACCACGCGAAACACCTGGCGAGGTGTCGCACTTCGTCTCCGTCTTGCAACTCCGTTATGCACAGAGCGCAACTCTGCTGCTCGTCCTTGGCGGAGGCAAAATAGGTGCGAGACGGCAGGGAGGAGAGCAGCGGTTCCGGGTCGAGCCCGCGACTGGAGGCAACGCAGAGACAATACCGGTGGTGGCAATGGCGAGCCGCCTCGAGGGATTAGAGTTATCTTTTCATTAGAGGTGAAGGATTAATTAGCAAGCAAAAGGATAACCGGCGACACCGCTATCGACTCTGCGTTACGTGAGAGTAAAAGAGGAAAGAGACAAACGAGAAATTTACTTGTTTAGATCGAATTGCAACAAACGAGAAATCTCCTTCTTTGAGGACTCCATCATGCACAGTGCACTGTTGCATGTGACATCTGATGAGTGCGGTGATGACGGCGATCGATGACTGCATCCGCCGAGGGTACTTCCTACCATATTGGAAGCCTGTCATGGAGTGGAAAGGTGGTGGAGATTGGTGTCATAAGGGGTTGGTGTTCGATCGCTGGTTTCTTCGCTTCCGAGTCCAACAATCCACCAAAAAGGCAAGGATGGAAAAAGAGAGCATGACCGCAGCGAGGCACAGTATTACCACCACGGCTCCCGTGCCCACATCTCTGGCCATACGATTTCCCTTCGTCGAGATGGAGATGGAATGTCGATGGGATGTGAAACAGGTGGTTCGAGCGAGGAGGAGGAACCGATTAATTGTAGTACAGAAGAAGTCCCCTCCCCTGCATAAACTTTAATAGTGATTAATTAGAAGTCAAGTCATATAAAATATAAATCAATCCAGATGACAACCAACTTGCGTGTTGATCGAGAGGAGGCTAATTCACAAAGTCAACCGGTAGAAAATATAGGTCAGACACCCACGCTAGCAGCAAAGAATGTTCATCCTCCAGTAATGATTTGTTTGGTGATGAAGGGAGATGTGCTGAGGTCGGAACATTTATTGTGTGTGTGCGTATATATATACATACATACATATATATATATATATATATATATATATATATAATTTATTTATTGGCCTCTGTCCTACCGTGGTCGTCGCCACTGTCCTCCCACCCTCGACGGCCTTCGCCTCCACACCGCCCTCAGCATCCGACTCGACCCTGGTCCTCCAAAGGAAGGACTTCCGTCGGTTCCCTTCGTTTGAAGGAATTTCTCCGTTGATGTCTTCCCTCTCCACCCTCGGCCATGACCCCCCTCTGCCTCCATGCCGCCCTCGCCACCCAACTCGATCCTCTTCGTCGGGCCGTCGCCTCCACACCCTCGCCACCCGACTCGAACCCTCAGAGGTGTGGCGTTCTCTTCCTTGCCCCTACCCCCTCCGTCGCCCTCCTCCACCTCCGTTCTCGAAGGCGTGAAGCCTCCGTAGGAAAGGAAGGCGTTGATAGAGGAATTCTTTCCGGAGGAACGGAAGGAGCCGAACTCCTTCATTCGGAGGAACGAGGACGAGTCAGGTGGCAAGGGCGGGCGAGAGGAAGGGGGTTGGGTCGGGTGGCAAAGGCGGCATGGAGGCGGATGGAGTTGAGGGCGAGGCGGAGAGGTGTGAGGTGGGGGCGCAGCGGGGCGGAGGGGAGGGCAGGGGTGTAGTGGAGCCAAGGCGGTGGCCAATAGGGCGGAGGAATCTCACAGTCTACATGAATGCGCTTCTTATTTAGTAGACTGTACGGTTCTTATCTCTTCAGCACAATCTGTTACAACCAAAAGAAACAGAAATAAACCATCGCTCCTTTGTAGCCGCAATCTCAATTTGTCGATTCATTTAGAGAAATAAAAGCTCTCAATCGTACCGAGTAGATCTCTGACACAGGGATTTGAGTTGCAAGATCAAGAAATGAGTGGAGTTGGAAGGTAATCCGGTGAAGATTGCGTGTAAGAATCAAAGACGACAGTCCGAAGGACATCGTGATAGATCTAAGCTAGAAGAGCAATCACCGACTCGTTTCAAGTACAAGAACATGGGATCGATCATGCTGCCTCATCTGATCCCTGAGCTTTGCTTCCCACGGCTGATCGGCAGATGGGGCAGGTGGCCTGTGACCGAAACCACATGTCGATGCAGTCGGCGTGGAACCTATGGCCGCATATCGGCAGCAGCCTCCCTTTGTCGCCATCCTTGAACTCCGACAAGCACACTACGCACTCCTGCTTCTCCTCCCCCGACGCGGAGTAGAGGAAGTCCGGTAGCGACGAGAAGACGTCAGGGTTAACCCTGTCGTTGCGCAGGGAGGGCGAGGGAGAGCTGGCGGTGGAGGAAGAAGCGGCGGCGGCAGCGGCGGCGGCGTCACTCAACCGCTGAGACCTTCTGCAGAATATCCGCCAGAGGTAGTAGTAGAGGAGGAGTATGAGGACGATGTTGAGGATGGTGAACAGGGGGTAGAGGACACGGCCATGGCCATGAGCGAGCCACTTGGGAGGGCCTGTAGTGGGAGAACCGGTTGGGCTTGCTTGGCTCAGACCTGCCATCTTCTTCCTCGCTCTCTGGTTTTGGCTTCGCATGAGTGGATCTGCAGACACAGGGTGATGAGAGGGCGGCGTAGAATTGAGAAAGATGGGAAAATATAAAATAAACAAAATAATAATATTTTTGGCTTATTTTAGGCGAACTATCTCAATAATAAATTAAAAAAAGGACAGATGAGAATTTACTAATAAGAATATAAAAAATATGAAGATGCTATTCAAATATCAAAATCATTCATATTGATCAGTTAAATGTCAACTATTATACTATGCCAAAAAAAATGATATCAATATTTGACACACGCCTTTTTTTTTTCTCGATCATGAATTTTCTTTCTCACATGTTTTAAGTCAAATGAATAAAGAAAAAAATCCTGAGACTCGATTTAACATCCAAGAAGTGATGGTGGGCTATACATGCAGACTTTGGGGTGAAATGCAAGCGACGGATAAGAAACACGGAAAGATGGACTCGTCACCCCAAAGTTAGGCGCCGACTTCGGCTTCCCCGAGGATGTCCACCGGAGGCACAGCGGAAGCGGGCCTCAACGGTGAGCAACACGCCATTGTAGATATGAAGCAGACCTTCTTCCGACCGGCATTAATCTGTCATTCAGCAGCATGCAGATGTCAATCTCGGTGCCCCGTCTCATGAGTCCCTTCCTGCTCTTCCGAGGTCGCCAAAATTCCCTGCGTTTACACACACCCCAAAAAGAAAAAACACGAAGAAATTCATTATATATAGAGAGAGAAAACCATGAAGTAGTAGGGTTAAGAGTTATTCACCTGCAACCGTAAAGGAAAAGCGCGGAGAAAGGTTAGAACAAGGAGGGATGAGGAAGAGGAAGAAGAAGAAGAAGAAGATGCATGAAGTAGTTGTCCATGGGCTCCGGTAACAGCTCTTGCTATGTTGGTCGACGAGGTGGTGGCTGCCGTCGCTAATGGTGATTCGCGTTTGACCACGTCCACAACGAGAGGGAAACAGAATGTAACGTAATCGTCACGTGGGAGTCCCTCGTTGGTTGATTGGGTCACTAAAAACGTGTTCTGTTAGTCGATATGGCAATGGATAGAATCGCTGTGTCAGCCAATATAGGCAGATGATAACGAGGAATGGTCTCAGTTTGGTTAGCTGTCATCTGCGCTACATGACACGTAGTTATTGGCTAATCATTGGGGTCCTCACTATTACCCCCCGTCAATAAAGCAATGTAAGAAAAATAAACATTACGAAAATTGTCTTTTTGATCATTTTCTAACCACAGATATCATCCCATCAATGATTATAACAAATAGATAGAAGACAATCTTTTAGTTATTTGTGAGTTATTTCAAAACCATTGTGATCTAATTGAATCAATTGCTATTTTCTGCTTCACTGAAAAAACAAGGGAAAAACTTTGATGGTGGAAGAAATTTTTTTTTCTCATATTTTCAATCTTGTGATGACATAAATTTCAAATATATTTAATATATATGGTTTAATGCCATTTATACGTATTATATTTTTATGTTGTATATATATATATATATATATAGGTGAATTATTATAAAAACTTAAAACTTTATAATTTTTATATAGAGAACTCTAACTTAAAATTTTCTCATATAAATAATTATTTTATCTCTAGCTCTCGTTAAACCTATCACATCGTCACCTTAGCCTTACACCGCTCTTTTTGCGTTTGCTCACAACTCTTGCACTAGAAATGAGAGAGCAAGAGGGTTGTCAACTCTGCGGATCCTATGACTCTTGTCGAACTTAACTATGTGCTTCGTAGAGTCAATAATGAGTTCGACGAAGACAAGAATAAAATAATTTAATAATTTTTCGTATGTGAAGATCGGACCGGTTATCTCGGCCCACAATCCTGGGAGTCAAACCCGGTCCAAGTGATATAACCGGGTCCCACTGTCACGGCCCGGTAAGGAACGCTGTTCCGATCGTTACCGTCCATCCTGTGCTAGCGCGATTCCCGAACCGCAACGGTCATGTCCGGTGACAATGGTCGTTTTGCAAAATAAGATATGTTTTAAGGGTATTTCAGTAATTCGACCGCCTAAAAGACAGTTTGAAACCCCGCCCTCCCTTTTTTGCTTCTTTCTTGCAAGGCAGCAAAAAGATGAACAGATCTCCCATTTTTCGTATGACGCCGGAGGCCAACCACTACAGCGACTACGGATTCGACCCCCAAATCGATTACTTCCAGGTATTCTCTTTTCTTCAGTAAGTGCTGCATCGATCTTTCTCTCTCTCTCTCTATTGTGATTTTGATGCGTATGTTTTTTGCTTGCGGAGTAGGTGCTGGAGGAGGCGCGGCGAAACTCGAAGCGCGGCGACCAGCGTCCGCTCGGCTGCCTGCACTGCAAGCTCCAGAAGTTTATTTTCAAGGACGACGTCAAGTCCAAGAATCACCGCCGCGGGTGGTGGAAATCCGCCCTCGTCTTCTGGAGGCGCCCGCGCCCCAAGGTCGGGTCCGACTCCTACGAGCAGCGCCGCGCGGCGCGGCGTCCCTACACCCGCAGGGCTGCCGTCTCGGGGCCTCTCTACACGACCGAGAGCGGCGGCGTTGGGCGCCGCACCTGCCGCCCGATCTCTGGTCGACTGACGGCGGCAGAGTTCGGCGCAGAGGCGGCGGGGCTGGCGTATCTCAGACTCAGGGAGCTCAACCTAGTCGGCGACCGTCCGACGGCCCTCTCCCCGGCGGCACCCATATACATCGTCACATGAACCGCGCGCCGCCATCTCCCCTGTTTAGGTTTTGTGGGGGCTCTGTTTTTGCGAGTCTTCCGGTGCCACACCTCTCAGCAAAAGTACGCTTTCTGGCATCTAATCGGAACGGCGAAGGCTTCTACCGGCAAAAAGTACGTTTCCTTTTCGTTGGTTTGTTTCCACAAACCACTTTGCTTATTCCTGTCTTTCGATCATACCCTACGAAAACTTCACGTGCTTTGATTTGGCTTCGGAACGGAACCACCAGCGGGCGTTGAGCCACCGTCGTCGATGTTTTTACATAGACATATCAGGGTATAAAATTAAGGATATTTTACCTAAAAAACCTTTTATAATTGGTTTTTACTTTCATAAATGATTTTATACTGACTGAGCTCGACTACGATCAATGCAAGATTCAATTACCAACTTAGATTAAGTAAGTCATTGGAAGCTAAGAAAACCTGTCACTGCAATTGTCTGTGGGAATTTTCCGTAGTAATTTAATCCCATCGTTACATGAATTCAAGACAAATACATTGTATTCTTCGGTCATTCAATTCAAATCCTATTCCTAAATCGTTGATAAGACGTGTCGTAATACCCATATGGCATGCATCAATAACATTTCGGGAGCAATGACACAGAAATATAAAAGGGCAACCCGCCAAAGGAAATAAATGCGTCGGTGCCAACCTTAGTCGAACATCATCACGTCACTGTGAGAGCATTGATTCACTTCAGTACACCGTCCTCTCTATAATACCGAACCTCAAGTTTTGAACACACAATTCTCCATCAAGAATGACATGACCAACAGAGACCTGCATGTCTCCATTACACACACTGCATCGAAGACTTCAAATGTCATGAGCAGTCGTTCTGTACAACTTTTGCGGTTAAACTCTTCGAATTGTTCAGTCCAAAGTCTTCACTTCAAATATGATGAACTCTCATAATTATTTATTTTAAACTTTTTATTCTTATATAAATAGATATAATCTTCTAATGACCCAGGGTTAATACGTAAAATTAAATTATTGAGAGATAATATATTTTTTTAATTAAGTTATTGAGAGATTATATATTTTTATTATTTTTATTATTTTTAATTTATTTCTCGTAGTAATCATATGAAAGATAAAAAGAGAAGATAAGTCTAATTCTTTTTTAGATTGATATCGTTATAACTTTTAGATCGAACAATGATTATGATTTAATTTTGATATATTTGATCTATTATTATTTAACTTTAATTTATAATATTAAATTTCTTTCACATAATAGTAACATATTATGATTTTTATACTTACATAATCTCCACAAACAATCTTTTATTTTTAAGTCTTGTTAATCTTTTTAACTTCACATGTGGAAGAAACAAATAAGAACCAAAAAGCAGGATTTATTACTGTTTAATTTACGCTAAGAAGGATTCAGTGTGTCTTTGTTGTCTTTGTTGAAACATAAGGTTAGTATATGTAAGATGTTTTGTACATCATTTAATGTAATGAATAAAAATGAGTCTTTTAAAAGAATTCATTGCTCTATCGAATTTATGCAAATTCCGACCTTCTTGATAACTGCATAGCAGATAAGATTTTCTTAACTGCACAAGAAAATCTCTTTGCTCAAGAAATCTTCTCTTTCACCGTGTATAAATAAACTTCGTATGATACTAATTTAAATGTGTTTTTATCTTTACTTTAAAATTCCATTGTTCATTCTCTCATTTTATCATAGTATTAGAGCAGTGAGAAAAGCGAAGCTTCGCCCTTGCCTCTGGCCAGCGACCAACGCCCTGTAGTTACATTCCAAGAGGTTCCGCGACCAATCCTTATCTTCCTCATCGTGATAGTCTTCGCTGATCTGCCATCAGTCGGTGGACTTAAGGAGAACGAAGGGAATGCTTATACCCTCAAAATCTGCATGCCGGGACTCAACGGTCGACGCACTCTCCTTCGCATATACGTATAGCTACGCCACGCACAATACCACGTGGATCGCCGCTGCATATACGAACTCAAGCCACCATAGTCACCCACCTCTCACCTCCCACCTTCCACCACCACCAGCCCCTTCACTGAACCTCTGCTCCAGACCTACTCTACTTCTGCACGTTGGACCATCAAGCAACCCTCTTTGTGGACTTGGTCGCCAGAACTCTCTTGTTGGGCACCATCAACTAGCTCCCGGCTCTCTCCCTCCGATGACTTCACCTTCGGATTCTACCCCATTAACTCCCAAAGCTGTCATCTGGTTCACCAACCGCTGTCCTCGATGAGCAGCATTTGGAAACAAAGTGCCCAGATTCAAGTAATTTGTTGTCTTTCCACACTGCAGCTGACTAGCGACAATCGCCTCTCCCTCAAGGATGAGGGTGGAAACAAAGTGCTTTCGGCGTGGGCCCTGCTAACACCTTCACCACCATTGTCCTCGACTCCAGCAACATCGTCCTCATTGCTTCCGGTGGCATCCTGTGGTAGCGTTTTGATCTTCCTACGGACACGCTCCTGCCGGGTCATGTCTTGGTCCTGGAGAAGACCTTATCTGGGTGTAGGCATACTATCCCTTTCTGTTGTTACCAAACAATCTTTGCAGTTCTCTCCCGCTAACTCTAATCAGTGATTAGGGCAGCCATTGCGTCCTGCTCTGCTACATCACTACTCAGATTCCTAACTACTGATCTGCTGCACAAAGATCTGCAGTTGTCTTGCACAAAGCTAATCTCCTCCTTCAAAGACCTCATTTGCCAACAATCTACCTCAGGTGACACTAATCTGCACCACCACTTCTGCTTCCCTGATCATTGTCGTTGCTGTAAACTTTTACCTACTCCCACATATTGATACATATTCCATATGTCCTCATCATCTACCTCTGATGCTCCATTTATTGTTCTCGGAACCATAGTACTTTCCCACATACAAGCATTATTTCCATCAATGCAACAACCATCATCCCATTCAAATTATCCAAAAGTGACAACTACGCATCATGGTGTACTCAATTCTCTAATCTCCTATTTGGCTATGATCTTCTAAGCTATGTCGATAGTTCTCTTCGTTGTCCACCAGCGATACTCAACATATCAGGCGCACTTAGTCCAGTACCAAATCCGGACCATAAACTATGGTTATGCTAGGATTGTCTCATCCTTCAAGCAATTCAAGCCTCGATCTTTGGATCCCTCGCCCCACTCATTTCTTCATGCGACACTATTGCCGAAGCTTGATGCAATTTGCAAACCACCATAGCCAATCGTTCCTGCACTCGCATGCTTAGTCTCCTATCCAGTCTCATAAAGATAAAACAAGAGGGAAGTACTGTTGCTGATTATCTACACAATATAAAGATTATCATCTCTTGATAGGTCATTCCCTTAGTGATGAAAAAGTTACGGTCCATATCCTTAACGGCCTAGGAGACGAGTCAACAAAGGTTTAACCAAGACGCCTTCTGAACCTATGAGCTTCAACCAAACCATCCCTCCTCTTCATCAACATTCCAATCACAACTCAATACCGACAAGTACTTGGCTCTCACCCGTTTAGATATCTTATTTGCAGTTAATAAATTATCTCAATACATGCACTAACATTCTGCTATGCATTGGTCTATGGTTAAACGAATTTTGCGGTATCTTAAAGGGACCCTTAATCATGGTCTCTTTCTCTGCAAAACCACTATATTTCATCTCCATGTCTTTGCTGATGCTGATTGGGCGGGAAACTTTGATGATAAAACCTTCACGTTAGGGTATATCGTCTTTCTTAGGTCTAATCCAATCGGTGGAGTTCTAACAAGCAAAAGATAGTGACCTGGTCTACAACTGAAGCTAAATATCGTGCTATTGCTACCGTTGCTGCTGAACTCAATTAGGTCACAAATCTCCTCAAGGAACTCAAAATCAGCTCTACCTATACTCCTATAATATATTGTGACAATATTGAAGCTACCTACTTATGTGTCAATCTAGTGTTCCACTCACACATGAAACACATTGTCATCGACTTTCACTTTGTGCGAGATCAAGTTGTTAGACATCAACTTCGTGTCTCTCATGTCCATACAGCTGATCAACTAGCAGACTTCGTATCTCTCATGTAGATATATATATATATATATATATATATATATATATATATATATATATATATATAT